AGAGAGAGAGAGAATATGGATGGGGTGTACATATTATTAGAAACTTTCTGGAGAAATTTGAAATATTTAACTAAGAAACAACATTCTAACCCCAGCTCTTATCGCTAATATAATGTGGGCAAAACAAATGCAAACTGAAAAAGTTGTTTACCTTACACTATTGAAACTTCTGAAAGCGCAAACAGAACATCCAAAATGGAAATGACGCCCCTACAGAAGAGGGTAACAGACTGAAAGTTGTGACAACGATTAGGTCACTCTCCCAAACAAGACCCTTTATAGATCCTGTTTATTGCGGTGCTAAGGACGTATGTGTTAAAAAGTTAACGCCTTTATCTTAATGATCGTTTCGTTTCTTTTGCAAATGCATGCCATTAAAATTTGACCTTTCTCTAAATTCTCTGTTAACGCGTCCTCTGATTAACCCTGTGTTTGTATATAGATCTTGTAGACTAACATGGAAAAAAACGTGAATGCGTATAAACCGCAGGTAACAAATAAACAATTAATCTATTATAATGATACGCAATGTAGCTATTCCGTTCTTCATACTTATTTTTAAAAGAAAAAATGTGTTAAGATTTAGAATTGATAGATCGTGGTTATATAATTTGTTAAATTTGAATAATATATAAATTGACGATCTTGGATCAATCCACGCATATTAAAAACACCTACTTTGAAAACATCCCACACGTCAAGGTGAAACGTTCTTTGTGAGTCTATATGAAGCTTTGATAGAAAAAAAAGTAATGTTTATGGTATTGTCAAGAGAAGAAATAAATACAAGTTTAAGATAATGACGGCGTAATGAATAAGAACACTTAACTGTTGTTTCAGTGCAGTTAGGCACATAAAACCGCACTCGTTGTTTTTGTCCCCCCCCCAAAAAAAAAAAAAACCCCCAAAAAAAAGCAATATTTAAAAGACCCTAAGCAACGTATACGATTTTGCCAAACAAAGAAATCATATTAGCCTACGATAATAATAGCAGGATTCATTAGAACAGTTTTTCTGTCTTTTTCAGGGTAATCATGTACGTAAAACCACACTCAAAGCATTTGCTCGTAGACCCTTCTGAATGCCAAGTCCAAGTCGAGAAGACTATTCTTCCACTGAGAACTTTTATCGCCCAACACTCTTGAACTGTGATCTTAGCAACACAATCACATACACACACAAGACTGATGTAGCACGAACCCACTCATGAATGTCACTACCCGACGAAATTATGTGGTTCAACAGTATGAAATGCACATAAAACACGCGAGAAGTCAAAGAAATATTTCCGTGACGATCTACTGTTTATTATCCGTCGTCTTACAGCCACCTGAAATTCACAGACTAGGGTAGACTGTCGGCGAGCCTTGCTATTTGCTGCTGCGGACAAAGGGCCAATTCTTAAGCCTCCACACATTCAATACACACAGCGGCACCCGGCCGTCCAAGTGACACTGCCAGTTCCGATCTATGCACCCTGCTCTATTCTAAACGCGGCACCGGGTGGGTCGGCAGGCTTTAACCCCTTTGTTTTCGATACATGTGACTGGAAGTGTGGCTGTATGTAGTCTTAGTAGTTTCATTATTATTGGAATGTTGTACTTTGAAGTAACGAAAACTGTAAACATTACAATAAGCCTGCGCACACAGCAATGTGTTAGTTGTGCGCAAACTTACTAATATTGTTTCTTACCCAACTTTACTTTTCTCATCGACCCACAAGTCTCACGTTTATATTTCACTTTTTTATTTTTATTTCTCATTAGACGTCCAAGTGGCGTCGGCGGTTTAGTGGTTAAGCTCTGTGACTCTCAACCGTTAGGTCGTGGGTTCGAATCCCGTTCAGGGGCAAGACGTTGGGAAAGGCACTTTGTATGAAATGTCCTCACTTCACCCAGGTGGAAATGGGTACGCGTCTATAGATTGTAAAGTCAGTTTGTTAGTGTCTGAGTGCGTGTAGTCGGCAGCTTGCACTGTACGCTTCCCGAGAAGCTGCGAATGTTTCTGAGTGTTCTCAGGTGGTCTGCTTGGGTAATAATAGTTGTAAAGCGAATAGAGCATGTTGTCGAGCGTGGAAATGAGCTATAAAAATGCAAATTATTGTTATAACATATGCTACGAAATCTTACCATATCAACGGTTTGACTCTTGTAGACCCGGGCTGTGCTCTTTCCAAATACGATACTGATAACAAATAAATCTTTATCGTTTACTTTCTGATATTTCTTCAACTACTGGTTATTTTTCCCACTCGAGTCGATCAGAAATATATCCTTCTATATCTATTATCTTGATATTTGACCTTCTTTTACACTTATAATATGAACCGTTAATGGAAAACCAAGACATCCATCTCTGTAAAATGATTGTGCTCGTAAACCTATACTTTCGATCTGCCATAGCCGCAGGTCCAGCGTATCTCTGACAGGATATCCTCCTAATCTGCATCCAAGCACAGATTTTCCTGGTTCCACGCCGGCTATCGTGATATTGGTTCTACGGACCGGACCAAGCTCCGAGGGTTAATCTATTCACGCAGATAACACATGGACACAAATACATACACACGCACACGCACACACACACACACACACACACACACACACACACAAACA